GACGGACAGAACCCAGGGAGCAACATCCTGGGCGACAAGAAGGGTGGCAACAAGACTCATGCCCACTGCTCCCATGAATAGGAGAAAGGCCAGTGACCATGTCCAGTCTTGGGATGTACAGAATGGCCTTTGTATGCCAGAGGTCAGGAAAACCTACTGCACCCAAGTGCAGTGGTACATGTCTGAAGTCCCAGCTGGAGCAGTCAGCTCTTTGTCCCTGGGAAATGATTTGTGACACCCAAGACTTAAAGGAGGAAAGGTTTGTTTGGCTCACAGTTTTAAAGGGTCCGGTCTATAGTTGGCTGCTCCAAGGCAGGAACAGCATGGTAGAAAGGTGTGGAGGAGCAATGCTGCTCAGCTCAAGGCAGTCAAGAAGCAAAGCAGGGATCCAGTGCCAGAGAGGAAAGGACCAGGGACAGATGTCATCCCCAAGACCACATGACCCCTACAGCCCACACAAACACACTCAAAAGTGTGACCCACAAGTCCCCTACCTGGCCCCCAAATCCATCAAGTTGACTTTCTAGCTTTACCATCACAACCCAACTTGGGAGCCTGAAACAGGCAGACCATGAGTTCAAGGCAAGATACAGATTGTCAGACTCAATACGAAAACAAAACTTACACTTCAAACACAAAGACAGATATCTGTTGAAAATAAAAAATGATATGCTTACATGACGGTGGGTATGGGAATATTCCTATCATAGTAGATCTTAGGCAAGAAATGATGAGCTGTGGAAGGGCATTCTACAGGACCAAGACAGCTGAGATATTGCAATCCCGCAATGATATGCGCCTAACAACACAGCTGAGAACACAGAAAACAAAAGTGGGTGCAGCTCAAGACACAGACAAAGACCCCATCTTGGGATGAGGATTTCAACCTCCCTCAGACACTGAAATTCCTAGGATCGCAGATTGGGACAACAACACGAAGCGATGCATTGAAATGGACCTGTCCAGATCCCGACCCTATGCCCCCGCACTGTACACTCTCACCTGGGCCAGGTTTATAAAGCAGGCCATAGTCTTGACCACAAACAAGTTTTTAAATGACAAGAAGGATAGAAATTACACAGCACATGATCTCTGGCCATGCTAGAGTTGTATTAGATCTAGTAACAGAGAGAGAATGGGAAAATCTCCAAATATTCGGAAACAACAACTGTAAATTAAGCAACAGAATTCTGAATAACATATGTTAAAGAGAAATCATAATAGAAGCAGAAAATATTTTGAGCTGAACAACATTAAAAAACTGTAATGCACAGGACTAGTTATCAAAGGGAAATTTATAGTGTACTGGAAAAGCCAGACACTTAAAAAGGAGAAATGCTAAAAATCAATAACCCAGGATTCCAGTTCAAGAAGCTAGGAAAAGAACATCAAAATAAAGACAAAGGAAGTAGATGAAATGGTATTAAAAGAATATTCCACAGCTTACTTTCAATAAACTAGACAGCTTTGGTATGAGGAGTAAACTCCTTGAAAAAATGGGACTTGTCAAATCTGACAAAAAGAATGTGAAGTCAGGCATGGTAGTGCATGCTTGTTATCCTAGCTGAAGCAGAAGAGTCACAAGCTGAAGCCCAGCCTGGGGAATTTGGGGACTTAGTGAAACTGTCTCGAAACAAAAAATAAAAAAGGAGCTAGAAGGAAGGAAGGAATGGAGGAAGGAACGAAGGGCTGAGCAGCCTGATCTTTATTAAAGATATTAAATCCATAACATCTTTCCACAGAGTAAACTGTGATTGCTCACACGGATGGTCCCATTGATTAATTCTTCCATCGATATCTTGCACAGCTTTTGGTAGATATTTTCCTAGTTGTTTCATATTTTGGTATGAAAGTCTATGTAAATAGACTTTGAAATTAACTTTGTTTTCTAAAAACATGCATCACTAGCATATAGAAATGCAGCTGGTTTGGAGGGCTGATGTTGTAACCACAACCTTGCTAAATTCTTTGTCACTCTAACTCAGTGCTGCTGCTCAGTGACAGGACTCGTCCTGGGAGAGGAACCCTTTGGCGAGTCTATCCTTGTGGGAACGCTGTCCCCATTCCAGGTTAGGCAGCGAGGTCACGAGGGATGAAATCTCTCTGGCCATTGGCATGTCTTGGATCCCCTGTGAAGGAGTGGCTGCTGAGCCCTACGGGGTTGCACCTTGTCAGAAATTCTTTTGAGTCTGACACGGAGGCAATCTTATGTGCTGACCATTACTGTTGCTGCTTCCTTTCCAACCTGTACACTGTGTACTCTTTTCCTGCCTCAGTGGGCACAGTGTGGGCAACAGGCACCTTGACATCCACTTAGTGAGAAACTTTACTGTACCCACGAGTGACAGGGCCTGGGAGTTTTGTGGGCTGACAGAATCCACTGGACTCTGCTGATCTGAGGGGTGACAAAACCTCTGGGGTCTTAAGATCAGTGTGGCCTTTCTTCTTGGGTCAACCCAGCTGGAGTGAAGCCTGTCTCTCTCCTGGGAGTCTGGACTGGTGTGGTGTCCTCTGACTCCAGGCTTTGTCCTTTCCGGTGGTAGTTTAAGTATAGGACAGGGGGCCGTGCTGCCCCAAGTCACTGGAGCAGTAGTTCCCCTCTCCAAGGCCTTCAGGCCAGGCCTCCCATAGCAGAGTCCACACTGGGCACTGCTATGGCTGGGACAGCCAAGTCCTCGGAGCTCTATCCCTTGAGGGGTGATGCCAGTGACCCAGGTAGGGGCCACATGGATGCCAGGCTGGGGGATGCAGCCCATGGGTTCCTCCAGGAAGAGGGGTCCAAAAAGGAGGGAAGGGTCTTCTCCCCGAGGAGGGAGAGGAGTGCTGGAGAGGAGACATGCTGGGAAGATGCACCGTGGGGCGCAGGCGGAGATGAGAGGACGGGTAGTGTGGGAGGAGAGGCCTAGGAAGTCAATGGAATCGGAAGAGTCAGAGCACGGAGGACCCCCTGTCCCCATGGGCAGAAGGGCCAACAGGTGTGACCCCTCCAAGGCCAGGTGGCTGTGGGTGCAAGGGTGGCAAGGGGTGGGGTGCGGGCACAGGCTGGTCCTGAGTGAGAGCACACTGTCCAGCCCCACCCCAACTGCTCTCAGCACATGCATGGTCTCTGCACAGCTCAACCCTGATTCTGACCCCGACCTCTAGGACAGGACAAGCTGCTGCTCAGACCCAGGCAACAACTCTGCCAAGGGTCTGACTGCTGCCCCTAGTGCAGCCCTGAATCTAGGTAAAGGTGGGCACTTTGGGAACCTGGGGAAAGGAGTCCTTGGGGCAGCATGGGCCCTGTGCCACCAGGCAGGCCAGGTCCTGCGCATCCACCAGGACCCCGGGCTCCAGGGCACCAGCAGGCAGATGCAGATGCTGATGCTCCGATAAACCTGCCCTTGGTGCTGGAGTGGGTCTGAAACAGGGTGCAGCCCCTACTCAGCGTGAGAAGCCCAGGCCACCCCTTCCCAAGAGGGGCTGGCATTGACTCTGTGGTTTAAAGATGGGGGAGGGTTCAAGCACCTTAAAGTTATTAGAAACTGATTTTCAACTCTCACACCTGTCAGCAAACACGTACCTGTCTAAATTTTTGCCTCTTTATTCACAAACAATGCAAATGAAACAGAATCAGAAACAAAAGTGATAGACTGGACATTTTTACTTCTATTTCAGGTACAGGTGCTTGCAGCAGGTTAGGCTGTAAATGATTGTCATTTGCCCCCAGGGATGGCAGGCAAACCATCCAATCACCCTGCCGCCCTGCCCAGCTCCAGGGGTCACTGTTCACACAGTTACCTGCCTATAGACACAGCCAGCCTGCAGACATGGCCTGGAGAGGGAGGAGGCATGGTGCTTCCCACCTAGCCCCCAGCCTGGCCACGATAGGGTGTGCTGCACACACCTAGGCTGACTGTTGCCTGGAGGGTTGTCTTCACCCAGCCCAAGCCTCTGGTCACTTCAGGTCTGGATGCACAATCTTCTTCAGCCCCTACCAAATGCCCCACTGGGCCCCTCTTGCTCACAGCCTTGTGGGGGCTCTTTGCTGCCCCTTCCTCAGGTCCCCAGCCTGTGTCTCAAAGCAACACCCTGCTCTCTACCCTTTGAACTTCTGTGGCTCCCAGGGGCCTTGCTGCAGGTCCCAGGCCAGATGATTCTGGGTGAGCTCCCAGGGCAGGGTGACCGGAGGCTCTGGGCACAGCACAGTCCCTTCTTGTGCCCAAGGGCAGCATCGCCAAGAGGACACCCCTCCTCCCGGCCCCCCAGGAGTGCAGGGAAATAGCAGAGAGGCCATCTGGGCTGGGGTCAGTCTGCTCTTGTCCAGCGGATCTTTCTCTGGACTGGGGACAAGCAGGATCAGCTTGGACAGATGAGTTGGCAGCAGCCTCACCACCCAGGGCCACCATGGTGGCTGGTCACACAATTGTGGTGCTGTGTGCCACACCTTGTGTGGGCTGAGTCCTGCTCCTCCACCACTCAGCACCCAGCCACCTCTACCACGCCAGCCATTTCCTGTCGCTAGAAAATGGGAGCCACAGGGCAAAGGCACCCACATCGGCACTGTCCTCCTCAGGCTCCCGGGAGCGCCAACATGTGCTGAGACACCAGCAGATGCCCCATCTGCCCTGTACCCACCTGCATTTCATGAGTGTTACTGGCTGTGGGCACTGCACCAGCCCCAGGACAAGCCGCTCACTCTGGAAGCAGACTCCCTGGGGAGGGGAGGCACTGCCAGACCAATCCAGCAGATGGCCTGAATTGCTGAGCCAAGCTAAGCACCAGGGGAGGTGGGGCTCAGCGTCACAGCTGTGAGCCCAGAGGTCTGGGGTGGGACACGGACTAGACTTGAAGGAGAAAGTCTGAGGGACCAGGACCCGTCCAGGTGGGAAGTGCCAGCCAGGGCTGGTGGGGGAAGTCCCATGAGGGGGTAGGGCTGGGAGCTGGGTCTGACTCTAGGCCACCCAGGCGCTGTGGTAGAGGGTGGGCTTGGGATAGGAGGGGTACTTGCCTTGGAAAACCTGGGGCACAGGGAAGCATCTAGTTTGTAGCCCTGACTAGGAGGTTTGGAGGGCAGAGGATGGAGACCTCAGTGGACACTGGAAAGGACATTCCAGTCCTGGGCAGGATCCCTGTGCCCTCTGGGCTCCCCGTGTTTCTTGGTATCGGGATAAGCAGTGGGTGGCAGAGGCAGGAGAGAGATTCCTGCCAGCTGCGGAGTGGCACATCCCCGCTAGCTCCTGATTGCTGTCAGCCCTGCGGGATGTGCGCACACTGTAGTGCTCAGAATCCTGGGAACCCCTAGGCTCCGGAGCAGCCCCGCATGACAGCCAAGAGCACCTTGGAACCGCCCACCCACCTTCGTATAGTGGGGACCCAGCCACCGCCCAGCCAGGCAACGCCTCACTCTGTGGGCTCGCAGGACTGGCTCACGAAGCCTGGGCAGCTGCGCTGGGGCCGTGAGGACGAGCTCACGTGTGCGCAGGGAGGAGGCGAGGCCCCGCCCCGGGGCGGAGGGCTCAGGATTAAAGGCCACAGGCATCGGCTGGCCAAAGGCTGGAGAGCAGTGGGGACGCAGGGGGCGATGCCTCCACACAGAGGCCCCCTGTGGGCTTTGCTTGTGGTGCTGGTACTTGTGCTGCCATGGGCTGGGGCCATCGAGGAGGAGCAGGGTGGAGCCAGCCAGGGCTTCCAGATTGTCACCTTCAAATGGCACCATGTCCAGGACCCATACATCATCGCGCTCTGGATCCTTGTGGCCAGCCTGGCCAAAATTGGTAAGTGGTTGCCAGCGGTCTCAGGCCCAGCCCCAGCTTCCTTTCTTGTCTGTCGGGAGGGAGTCGGGTAGGACAAGGAGCAGGGACATCCGGGGGAAAGTGAAGGCAAAGTTGCTGTGGTCACCAGGCACTGCCGGCAGGGACAGCCTTGCATGCCCTCGGTATTCCAGCTCCCTGTCTGGGTCTGGGTCCCCGCCTGGGTCTGCCCAGCTGCATAGTTCCGAGAGAGGATGCACCATGGGACACCCTGGGGTGATGTTGGTTTCAGAGTGAAAAAGAAAAAGGATGCTGCTTACAAAGAAATCCCGTGAAACCCAGCGTACACCCACAGTTTTCCTGTGACTGTCACATCTTGCCTCCTTTAACTGGGCCAGTGAGTCAGAAAGTGGGAATTACAGGTGTCTCCTGGCAAGGTGAGAAGAAGGTCAGCTTCCTTGGAGTTCAGGAGGAGCAGCGTCTCCCAGGAAGTGGCAGTTTCTGGCTGTGTGTGACTTGAAACAGAGAGCCTGGCCCGAGGTGTAGGGCTTGTGGTGGGGAGCATGGCCGGACTCACCCCGTGACTATACAGGGCTGAGTGGGGAAGGGTCCCTGCTGTGGGGGCCCTTTGTCCTCAGCAGCATTGGGAGAGGCAGAGGTGGGAGCAGAATGCTGAGGCTGGCGCAGCTGTGTCTGACAGAGCAGGCTGGCTTCTTGCTGCCCCTACACTCTGTGTGCCCACACCTCTGCCCCTCTATCCCTTCCATTCTGCTCTGAGTCTCTGAAAAGCTCTTTTGGATCCATGTGCCTCCTGGCTCTGGAGTATGTGCAGTCCCCTGGCCTGGCAGCCAGGTTTCCTTGCTGGGTCCCACTGGGCTTTGCAACGAGGCTGTGAGGAAATTCAGCTGGGCCATTTACTCAAGCACAGCCAGCTTGGTCTTGGGGTTCAGGGATCGCTTTTGTACAGCTCCTTGGTGTGTACAGTGGGTGTATGGTTCAGAACCTGGTATCTGGAAGCCCTTGGACAGCCAGCAGGTCAGCCTCACCGTGCCCTGGGAGCTGTCAGGTGAGTGCTGACCAGGGCTCTGCTGTCCGAGCAGGTTATTTGCCAGAAAGAGTCCAGCCCTGTGGGTCTCTGAGTGCTGGGACTAGACCTGAGAGGGGAGTTTTGGGGGGTGGGGAGGCCCTGCTCCAGCTGTCCTTTCACGGGCAGGGTGGGGCAGCTACAGGGTGCTCCAAGGATAGCACACTAGCCCACCAGCCTTGCTTGCCCTAGAGGAGGGGTGGGCTCCAAGAACAGCTCAGGGACTGGGTTTGCCTGGACTCTTGGGAAAGTCTCCTTCCCAGGAAGCCATGGGTCTCACCCATGAATGGTGGCTTGGATGGAGGAAGCCTCCCTCATTCTAAACAGAAATCCACTGTCCAATCTGACCTCTCTCTATGCTTCATCCTCACCTACTTCTTGCCTCTGGGTCAAGGTCTGCTGAGCTGATCTAGGCCCTTCTTCTGAGTGCCACCTTCTCACCCTGCACTGCAGGTCACACACGCACCTGCAGCCCACTCTGTGCCTGGGTCCCCACCTCCAGCCCAGGGTCCCCTGATGGACTGTAGTCCACAGGCCCAGTGGCCAAGCCCTACTCAGAGTCAGCCCAGCTGGCCAGCAGCCCTCTGCTCACACTCAGTCCCTGGCAGGAGTCCTAAGAGATGGTCACAGCCTGAAAGGTACAGATGCCACCACCCATGCACCCTCAGTGGCCCAGGACAGGAAGAGGGTGAGCCACCGTCCAGCTGTGCAGGACAGAGACCTCACAGCCCAGCCCCTCCTGGAAGCTCCTCCTCCCCAGGGAGCTCTGGATTTGTTCAGACCCTTGCTGACCCCACCTGCCCCTCAGAAATCCCGAATGCCTCCACACACAGCTGACCTTGGGCCCCATCTCTCGAGCCCCACCAGAGCCTCTCTGCCTCTCTGCCTCACACTCTGTTTCCTGGGCACAGGGTGGGAGGTACCCCTCTGGCCTCAGGGCACAGTCCCTGCTGGCCCGATTTCTCCAGGCCCTTTCAGTTTCATGGTGCCCAGTAGAAACTCTCTCCGAACGGAAGGCCAGATTCACGTGGCCTTTCTGAATGTGCTGCTGGAGGGAGAGGGAGGCGGGACCCTGGAGCTGAGTGAGGCCAGCGAGTCTGCAGGGAGGCCAGGCTGGAGGCCCAGTCATATCACTGCAGGCAGCCAGGACTTTGGCCACTGTCAGCGCTGTTCAGAATGTGGGAGCCGGCCAGGCCTGGGCTCTGACCATGGCTCCGGCCTCCAGACAAGACTGTCCAGAGGCCCCAAGGATGGCCTTAGAGCACAGTGGTCTATACCACAGGGCAGGGATGAACCTGCCACCCCTGGGGTTCCTGGAGAGTCTCAGTGGGGGCTCTGGTGGAGTGGGACAGGCCCTGGAAGTACCCAGGCCACTGAACTGTGGCCTGAGTCTCACATGCGGTGCTCACTTCCCAGGTGGCTGTTGAGGGGAGGCACAAGTCTGGCATTTCCCTGTTGTCAGCAGTGTTCATGGAGCCCTGAATCACCAGAAGGGCAAGGATGAGCTGTGAGCTAGGACCAGGAGAGGGGCAGCCCTGGGCCACAGTCTCCATTAGTAGGGGTGGCAGTGGTCCCTGGTACTATCTGCCACTGTGCACGGCATGCTGGGGGCCTTTCTGTTGTCCTTCTGGCTTTTTTGGGGTCTGGCTTCTAGGTTTTGGCCCTGCCCTGGACCTCTAGAGGGGATAACAAGGCAGGGCCAGAAACCATGTGGTCATTGTCCCCTGACTCTGAACATAACGGCTTCCTCTCTGGGTCTCTCCATGTGCTGGCTCAGACTTCTAGGAGCACAGCTCTGACCCCCAGTCCTCTGCTTCTAGCCCCCCACCACATTCCAGTCACTTCCAAGTCACCGTCGACATTTCCTTCTTGTTCTGGTCAGGCATGGGAGGTCAGGCTCCCTGTGGTTTCCATTCCTTCTTAGACATGGGGTAGGCTTGGCTCTCCATGGTAACTTCCCCAGGGTGCCTCGCATCACAGGTGTGACCTCTGTCCAGGTCCTTCCTTGGAGAAGGATTTCTTCCAAGAACAGCCTCTGTTCAGCTTGTGTTGCTGGGCCATGGGGGATGTGTGGGGCTAGAAGCAGAGGGTCGAAGTTTCTATCTCATGTGCCCTGGCTCCGGGGACAGGAGTGCCTATGTTGCTCTGGCCCTGTCCTGCATCTCTTCTTGGCTCTGGGTGCCCTTGCCATAAGGCCCACACTCTCTGGTATCAGGCTGTCCTTGGAGGGAGGTAGGAGAAGACCTGGGTAAGCATGGCTCTGGGAAGGCCAAGGTGAGCCCAAGGTCCCCACTGGACCTGCCTTCCAGGAAGTTGAGTCAGTGGGCCCTAGTGGACTCTGGACTCAGGAAAGTTGAGGCAGTGGGCTTGGAGCCAGGACATGCATCAGAAGCCTGGCTTCTGGAAGCCAGGGCTCTTCTGGGTCTGTACCGCAGGTGTGGAAGGTAAGATGTCTCCTCTCAGAGCTGGACATGAGCACAGGCCAGGAAACCATGTGGACTTTGGAGCTGAGGCATCTGAGAGATAGTGGCACAGGCCGTATGTGTCTTGCCCAGGTGGGCACCCACCACAGCGGCATTCCTGTCTCCTATGGCTGTGGACTTGCTCCATCCCCAGCCTTGGAGCTTGGAGTGCATTAGAATGGGGAGGGGGCTCCCACTGGTGGTGCCATCTCCAAATGCACATGGGTTCTTGGTGTGCAACCAATGGGACTGCTCTGTCCCCTTTGTGGGATGGGCCTTGCCCAGTTCAGTGTCTTCTGAGGATTGGGATGTTGGTCTTGGGGTCCTGGGCCAAGGAATCCAGGGGACTGGGTCCCAGTGTCCCAGGCCTCCTGGTGCCCAGTCTTGGGCACTATGTCTCGGGTCACATCTCGGCATTGGGGCCTCACCCATTCCAGCTGGAGGCAGACTCCATCTCCTCAATCCTGTGCTGAACCTCCTGCCTGTCCCGTCTTCCAAACCAGCTCCTCTCCTGCACATTGTGAGCTCAGAATCTCCAGCCTCCCAGTTCGAGGTTCTTCTGGAGGCCAGAGCCCAACACAGGCATGTCTGTCTGGCTCTGTCAGTGACTCCAGGCCTGTGGGCTCCAGCAGAGCTGGAGTACAAGGACATGTGGGAGGACGAGGGGATATGGGCATGCACACGTGGCTGGGAGAACAGGGGTGCGGAGTGCGTGGCCACATTGCTGCTGTCCCACCTCTCAGCAAGCACCTGGACACATGGCCTGGGTGGGAGCTCTGTGGTTCCTGTGCAGAAGAAATCCCACAGTCGCCTGAGGGTCATACCTGCCTGTTGCGCCTTTGCCATACCCTGGGTTGCCTTTCAAAGAATGGATCCTCCAATGAGGATTGTGACCCTGGCTCAGGGGATCATGGGTATTGGGTCTGGGGTAGCAGCCACTGCCCCCAGGGGCTCCCCTAGGGTGGCCAGGTCCCCCACTGAAACCTGTTACCCACTTAGCTCTGCCTCAGGACTGACATGGAGCCCACCGGGACTGTCTTTCGGTCTCAGAGCTCCAGACAACCTGAGCAGTTCTGCTTGGCACCAGATCAATCCCTTGCAGGACTCTCCTGGGACACAGAAGCACAGGGTGACATTTGGGGCTGGAATAGTAGGATTTGCTCTATTGATGCAGCCCTGGGCCCCACACTTGAATTTTCATTCAATAAATATTCAGTGCCCACCACATGTCAGCCCTGCTCGGTAGCTTCAGGCAAAATGAACTGCAGTCCCTGTGAGCACAGCTGTCCTGTGGGTAGGTGGACAGACGTGCTCAGTGAACAGCACAGGGAACAGAGGAGGGTGAGACCCACCAGTCCCATGGGAGAGGAAAGCACCTTTAGGGTCAACACTGACAGTTCAAAGGTCCTAGGGTAGCACTGGGGAAGTATTTGAGGGATAGAGGGTAAAGTCAGCGTGGCCAACAAGGTCCCTGACCA